TGTACAGACAGACAAACAAACAAACAAACGCTGCTCGTCTTATAGTGGGGCTCGCCCATGCTCGCCCCAATAATAAGTGTACGTGTATTTTGCATTTTTGTGTTTATTTCTTCTTTTCCTTTCCCTTCCCTTTCTTCCCTCCTCCTCCATCATCCTCTCCCATTGCTTCTTTGATAGCTTTATTTCTCTTCTTTCCAAGAGGAGTCTTGTTAAACCAAGCTTACATTAACAAAAAAGGTATAAAATAATTATTAGTTCTATTTATACTATAATTACACATGTACATGTATGTACATATACATTTGTATATTATTTTTAGTAACAAGGTTCTCAGTATTAATTTGCAACAACACTGAAGATTAGGGTTCTGCCTATAGTACATGTACTACATGCAGATGCTATTTTTAGTAACAACTAACAAGGCTCCTAACTTATACACTGCTATACATACTATTTTTAGTAACAAGGTTCCTATAAACAGTTCTAATAATAGGTTTACTTTGTATGCTTCCTCTTCTTCTCTATAAATCGGATCAATTTTAGCAAGAAAAGGAATGAATTCTGCTGTAGTCAATGGACGCTTACAAAGTTAAAAAGATCAAGAAAAAATATATATATAAATTAAATATTATTATTATTATTACTTGTTGTATTCTTCTTTCAGTGAGTACTTGTGTTATTCCAGTGATCATGTGTCCTGGAGTGTATCTGTCTGATACTTTAGCTAATGAGCTCGATGTCAAATCCATCAGTAACATGTCCGCCATGTTTCAGTATAAGACTCTTCCACTGCACTCCAAGTACATAAAATAATTAAACAATTTTATTATTAATTTTTGCTATTCTACACGTGCATGTTTGAACTGATTCCGACTTCAATTTTTCAAGTTGCGGCCATTTTAAAAAATGCCAAAAATTTGAAAATTTCCCAAGGCTAGTTTGAACTGATTCCGACTTCAATTTTTCAAGTTGTGGCCATTTTTAAAAATGCCAAAAATTTGAAAATTTCCCAAGGCTAGTTTGAACTGATTCCGACTTCAATTTTTCAAGTTGTGGCCATTTTAAAAAATGCCAAAAATTTGAAAATTTTCCAAGGCTATAGCCTATGGATTTTTTCACAAAATGGCTCCGAAATCACTCCAAATTTATATTACATTTTCTGATAAATGTGACCATAATTGACAAAAGGTACCTTATGGCGGGTAGTGAAATTAGTCTTTATAGCAAAAAAATCAAACTTCCAAAAAATGAGCTTCATATATCATAAAATGACTCCACAGAATGCATAAAGTTACTATGTAACTTTTACAAACAATGGTTGTCCAACAGAGAACTCACAGGTTGATATTATTCATTATAATGATGAATTTTAAAATCCACCATAAGGTACCTTTTGTCAATTATGGTCACAAATATTGATTTCCTTATGCTGTGTAGAAAGTTTGAGCTGATTCTGACTTCAATTTTTTGAGTTACGGCCTTTTTAAAAAAATGCCAAAAATCTGAAAAATACCCAATATAGCCCTTGGTTTTTTCCAAAAAATGGCTCCAAAATCACTCCAAATTTTTATAACATTTTCTGATAAATACTAATGTCCTTATGCTGTGTAGAAAGTTTGAGCTGATTCCGACTTCAATTTTTCCAGTTACTGCCATTTTTAAAAACACCAAAAATCTGAAAAATACCCAAGGCTATAGAACATGGTTTTTTTCCAAAAAATGGCTCCAAAATCACTCCAAATTTTTATTACATTTTCTGATACATATTAATGTCCTTATGCTGTGTAGAAAGTTTGAGCTAATTCTGCATAACTTTAATTTTTCGAGTTACAGCCATTTTTAAAAAATGCCAAAAATCTAAAAGATACCAAAGGCTATAGCCCATGGTTTTTTCCAAAAAATGGCTCCAAAGTTACCCCAAATTTTTATTACATTTTTTGCTACATATTAATATCCTTATGCTGTGTAGAAAGTTTGAGCCGATTCTGACTTCAATTTTTCAAGTTACGGCCATTTTAAGAAAACACCAAAAATCTGAAAAATACCCAAGGCTATATATAGCCAATGGTTTTTTCCAAAAAATGGCTAAAAAATCACCCCAAATTTTTATTACATTTTAAAATACATATTGATGTCCTTATGCTGTGTAGAAAGTTTGAGCTGATTCCAACTTCATTTCTTCAAGTTACGGTCTTTTTAAGAAAATGCCAAAATCTGAAAATTTCCCAAGGCTATAGCCCATGGTTTTTTCCAAAAAATTAATGGCTCCAAAACTACC